CGGGGAGCCGTCTGGGGGGGCCCGGGCGGGATGTGGTGTGTGTGTGTGTGTGTGTGTGTGTGTGTGTGTGTGTTGGGGCGGGCACTGAGGCACCGAAGGGCCGGGGTGAAGGAGCGGGACCGCGGGGTGATGGGGGAGCCCGAACCCCGCGCTCCGGGCAGCCCGGGTTTGTTCCTCCGGAGGGAACTGCTCTGGGAATGAGGATGGGGAAGGGTACGGGCTCTGTCCCCAGTCTGTCTCTCTCTCGAACCGGGGAAGGAATCCCCCCTGCTTGCTGACTTAACGCTGTTAAGTGCGGGGCTTCGCTCCTCCCGACCAGAAACCCTCTCTCAAGCTCACGAGATGGGCAGTTTATTAGCGGATTTAAGTAGCTCGGTTGGAAAGGCAAGGAAAGGCTGCGAGGAAAGGAGTGACCGTTTCGGAGCTTAAAAAAAATAATAATAAGGAAAAAGAAATAAAAAAAAAAGAGCAGCGTGACTGAGTTTGCATTCTTACCTCTCTCTTTTGTGGAAAGAAAGGATCAGCTTATCTCCTTCCCCCTGCACAATGCAACACTGGGCAAAGCATTTCAGCATTCAGCTTTCCTTGCAATTAACATTCTCCTGCCCAGTGGAGTGGAAACCTTCCTGCTGGCTACTGCATCAAACGCTGGCTGGGGCTTGCACTTGGATGCAAGATGTTTTTCTGAGGGTAAGTTCATGTGTCCCACTCAAAGCCCAGTTTGTAAAAGAAAGATTTTACAAAACCTGATACACCTACAAGTGCTTTCAAAACTCTTGCAGATGTTCTCCCTCGGTGCTGTTCATGAAAACTGCAGCTGCTGGGAGGGTTTCCCTATGTTGAAACACATGAGATGTTCTGAATGTTGCTGTCAGGCAGCTGTTGGGGACCAGCAAAGGGAGGATGTGCTGTCACAGGCTTGGGGTGGGATTGCACGGCCTTCCCAGGGCTGTGCAACAAGGGACTGCTGCTGAAAGATGAGTGGAAGTGACCATAAACCTGGATTGCAAGCTGGGATGTGACTGCAGGTAATATTGTATTTAATCACAGGGTTATAACAACAGAAGCTCCAGCCCAGCTCGCTGTGGAGCCTGTGCTGGTAAAGGGGTTTGCTGCAGTGCAGGGTTGAGTTGGGGAAGGTCTGCATCAGTGCCCATCATGCCTGTGGTGCAGGCACATCCCTCTGACGTGGGCAAAAGTAGACAGATTGGGTGAAGAATGAAGAATAAGAAGTATTTTTTCGAAAGAGCTTTTTCAGTCATTCTACATACTTCATTACTTAATAGGGCATTTAGCAGGATAGATGTCACATCTCTCCTCTTCAGACCAGTGGTGGCAATTATTTTTTTTGTCCAACTCATAATTTGGGATGCTTAAGAGAGGCAGTGCTGGATCATGCATATCCTTTTAGCTTTAGTCTGGTGGATATCTGGCCTGCAACATGGGCAGCAGCTGATCAAAGGTTTTGGTTGTTTTGTCTCAAAGTCACTGTGAATGTTAAGTGTTTCAAATAATCTACCTGGCTTATAGATTAAATAAAGGCTTCTCATTAATATGCTCTGGTTTCAATGGAAATATGGAATGTAAAAATACCTCTTCTAAAACCTTGCAGCTGATACAAACTGGCAGCTGCACAGGGATCACACACTCAGGGAAGAATGGCTTCAAACATGAACTCCAGACAACAGAAACCAGTGGTGTTCATGGAAGGAGCTTTTCAATTTGATTTGTAATTCATATTAAAGTAGTCTAAATAGCTCTGAAATCACAGCAATCTCTCATGACATTCAGAGGGAGAAATTACTCAAATTTTCTCTTTTCCCCAAGACCCCGCATGTGTGGGAAGTTCACAGTGGGCAGCAGGCACTACAGCTCTGTGTCTGGGCTCATATTCCAAGTTTTGGGAACACAGGGGGATGCTGGAGATGCAGCATGATCTTGCCTGTGATCTCTGCCTCCTGCAGCTTCTCCCTGGAGCTCAAGCCTGTACATTTTGTGTGTGTTGTGTTATGAACGGGGGGATATATCACCCATGTGGGATTCCCCACCACACTAGGCAGAGCCAGAGGGGAACTACAATCCTCAGCAGCCACTGGGCAAACCCACTCTTGGCTACATGATCTGTAGTTCATCTGAGCAACTCCTTCCTTCTCAAATTATTTCAGAGTGAGAAGGAAGAAATGGTATTTTTCTCCACAGCCACTCAGCATTCATTTGTCTGCCCCTCACCTTCCCCACCATTTTCTGGAGGCTTCCTGCTCTCTGGCAGGGCAATAAACATTATTAGCACAGACAGCAAGGAAGCAAGGTCCTGGGGAGTCCAGGCAGAGCTTTATGGTATGTTTACAAAAGGCAGCCAAAAGGATGAGATCAGTATGTACAGAAACGCAGCCACCACATCAACACTGGGGGTGGCCAGGGGTGATGATCCTTTGGAAAAAAAAAACTTAAAAAAGGTGAAAACCTGCTATGATGTAGAGCAGGTATAGTTTGGGAAAAACGGATCTTCTTTTGTGGTTTTTAAAGTGCATCTTTCTTATCACACCTTTGTAGTTAAGTCAGTAGCTTTGTCCCTAAGATCTGCATGAGAAGGCCTGGGCAGGGTTGGATCCACCAGAACTGGCTCTTGCTTCATGTCTGCTGGCAGGTTTCTAGCCTGGTTCCCTCCTGCGATGCTCTGCTCCTCCTCTCAGACCCTGTGTCTTGGTGGTGCCACTTCCCATCTGATCCTTATCCTGCCCTTGGCTGCCGGCAG